GAGATGTTCATGTTGCTGCAGTCTGCAGTGTGACCGCTAGATGTCGCTAAAAGTTACACACTGTAGCTTTAACGTCCACTAATGTTATTGCTGAGGTTGGCTACATTTGACTACAGAACAGATTTTGGAAGATGCTAAATCTGGCAGTACTGCTGCTTTTACAGCTACTAATGCACAAAATTGAAAATTAAAAGTCGAAAAGTAATTGCAAGAAATCTATTTTCCTAAAGAGCAACTCAAGTAAGCAAATAATCCCGCCTGATGTAAATTAAAAAGTACAGAAACTACTGGCTGGCTTAAATATCCATAATTTAAAGAATTTCCCAAAAAAAATGACATGTGACTGAATGAATAATGCACCTTTTCATTTTTTATTTGATTTTTTTTTTAATGGAAAGTTAGAGATCAGGAAACAAACAGGCTAAAATAGGCTAGTAATTATTTAACATGTACCGATAACCTAGTTGCTATTAGAGACTCGGACTTTAAATACAGCCACAAAACACTTCTGGCTGTATCAGTTTAAAACTGCCTTCAAAAAACAGATTTGAGGGTTTTCTGTCAGGATGCAGAAGAAAAGTGCATGTATTTTCAGTTATCATAACTAGGTCTTAGTGTGGTTTAAAAAATACTCAAGCAGTTACAGTTTTCCCAAAGCCCTGGCCCAAACTTGAAAGCACTAAGCAAGTTAGGTGGATCAAGAGTTTACTCCTCGGGTATGAAACATCTAGACCCCTAAGGCAAACAAGATGAGTCGGATTTTACATTTTATATTCTATCTGTATTTTGCCTTCTATTTATCTTTGGCATTAATGTACTGAAAACCTGAAATTAGATTAAATTCCTTTCAAAAATACTTTATTGATCTCAGGGGGAGGTTAAATGTTGCAGTAACATAGGACTTTCATGTGCAGAAACTGTTGAATTCTTCAGACAAGGACTAAAAATATAAAAACATATTAAATGTAAAGGTTAAAGCCAGAACATTACTTAACTGTCATCATTAATGTGCCATTTGCTTGTTTTGAGTTTGCCTTCCACATCTTGGTTCTTTTAATGTAAAACCTTGCTTTTATGTTTTTTATTGGGCTTTGTTGGGCTATTCTATAAAAGCCTGGAACTCAATGCTAATCCAAACATTTTGATTAGAGAAAGCTTCCTGGATGGGAAGCGAAACGTCATCAAACTTGGAAAAAAAAAGTCCAGTGGTTTGTTTTTTTAACTTTAACTTTTTGGAATGACTATGAACTGGATGACTGAACATCTCCACCAGCTAAAATTTTTTGGCTTAATAGATTTTTTAAATGTATTTTACTGTAAAATATATTTTATTACCCTGTGCATCATCTTTCCTGTATAAAACTCTTGCCTTGGCAATCTTCACATCTGAAGAAAATAATCTCTTTGGCCAAAGGGGCAAATCTGTGGAAAATGGGATTATAGGGCATCACCTACCCAGAAAGCCAGCCAAGCTTTTCAAAAGGAGGCGTGGCAAACCCTTTGCAAGCTGACAACCACAATAGCTAGTAGAAGCCCAGTGGGCAATGCCGGTGCTGCAATGCTAGACCTCTTTTGTGCTTATTTAATAACTATATAATTGAGTTAACTCCCATGCCAATTATCACAGAGCTCTGCTAATTGCCCTATGGCTTAAGTCAAAATGAGATTGGCCATATTTTAAATTAGTACCTTTGCCAGCTACATTACTATTGCACATGAGGGTATTCACACTAATAAAGATTTTTTTGGCACTTTGATGTATCAACTGTTCAGATAAACACTTTAGCTTTAATTGGCTCATAGTGAAGTTAATTCTGTGAGCTCTGCCATTTATCCTGCTTCTATGTCATTGCTATTAAATCATTCATCTCACAGAAGAGTAAAACCTTTTGAGCTGACTGTGCATTTTCAGAATTGAATAAAAAGAAGGAGAATGCAGAACCAACTTCAGCACAGTCAGATAGATACAGATATGTAAGGTATACCGAGCATTTGTTGGGCTTCTCCCCGGAGTGGACCCTCATGTGGATAAGAAGCTTGTATCTGGCGTTGAATGGCTTTAAGTTTCTTGGGCAGCAAACCCAATAGCAGGTGAAGTCATCTGCCTTTTGCTGGTCCACATGGAGCTTCTCTATGTGCCTTACCAGCTCCTCCTTTTGGTCATAAATGGCAGTGCAATCCATCCACCTGCAGAAGTGGGTACCACAGTCCTCTACCTCCCCGTCCTCCTCCTCAAGCATGGGAATCTTTGGTAAAAAGCCGACTCCATTCCTGTGTGGAAACATGGGAGCTTGTGTGGCAGCACTCTGAGATTGGGCTTTCATTTTGCAGTGATGTCGGGAAGGGTTTATGTGATGGTGAGAGTAGTAAGGTGGTGGAGGCCCATGTGGAGCAGAAGCTTCTTGGGTTCTCATCAAAGATGCTGACTCTGACTGTACAAGTGGTAGGATTCTGTGGGATGTTTGGCTGCAACAGTCGGAGATTTTCTCCAGAAGCCCCTCTTTTTCTGAAAGGTACTGTGGCCCAACCATCATGTTGGCCATCTGGTTCTCCAGACTCCCACCCTCTTCGAGCCCCTGCATGTGGCCACACTCTGATAGTGGGGAGAGTCCTTGTACAGAGCTAAGCATGCTGCATGGATGTTTGGGAGGTATGCAGCGACCTTTCACCCCTAAGAAATGACCATATCCATCAGACTGAACAGGAGAGAGTGTGGAATGGGATGAACCGTTGATATAAGCCACAAGGGACGTAGGTGAGGTGCGAATAATGCTATTAAAATCAACGCCAAAGACATCTGATAATGGTGATGTGGAGAGCGCTCTCTTCTTCGCATGAGATTGTCTGGGGCTTCCGGCCTCAGCTGCAAAAAGATATGAGGGCAAGGAGGCAGAGGTGCTTGTTTCCCCTGATGTGGTCGTGCCCGACATGGCGGTACCAGGGGGGAGGCTGAACTGTTCACCCCCCTCACCGGCTTGGGCAGAGCTCTGAGATAGTCCCACCGGGGGAAGCACACGGTAACCATATGGCCAATCTTGTTTGCCACTAAACACAGATTGGGTTTCAAACAGGCTGAGGGTGGTGGATGCCAGGGATTCTCTGGACGGTAAGGACCTAAAAAAACAACATTATTTGCTTCACTAACACTCTGATATCTTGACTTCCACATCAATAATATAACACTACGAGAGTTTTCTCACCTGGCATCAGTATGAGAAACGGGCATACTGTGACATGATGGTGGACAAGGCCTTGCAGGAAACATTGGTCCTGAGAAAACACTTGTAGGACTGCTGGTCACTATAGTGCATCCAGACACTGCAAAGTCAGCTGGAGAGAAGTGGGAACATTAAATATTTTCATGGAGTATAAAAGTTAAAGTAGAGCATGCAGGTTAAAGTTATCTATGCCATTAACATAAAGTCACACCCACCTCTGTCAAATAGCCAGATCGTATGTTGTAAAAATTGACCATAAGAAATAAATGTTACATTAATAGTGATAAGCAAACAGACCTGTGTTAGATCAGATTAGTATGCAGACCCTCAAGTTCTTTTTTTGGTCAATTTCAGCACTTTTTTTGGATAAAATCCTCCATCTAAGTTGTTTTGACTATAACAAAAAAAAAGGAAATTGTATCTATGATTTTAGAGAAACATGGAGGTGGCAGCATCAAAGTTTGAGGTTACATTTCTTTAATTGAAACAGAAACTCCAAATATTAGTCAGTTTTAACTAAAAAACATCGATTGTTTACTTGAGAACTGAAGGTCAGGAGTGGCTTTATAGTTTAGCATCACACAAATAAACCCAAATGAATAAAACAGGGGCTTTACCAGAAGATAATCAGCATTCAGAATGAAAAAGCTAAATTCCAGAATTAAATTTGTAAGAAAATATGTGGAGTCTTCTGAAAAGGGCTGTGGGCACAACATAATTTATACTCTAAAATGGGCAAAACAATGTATGCTGATGGACTACTAACACAGAATACATAAATTGAACAATAAAAGGGCTGTAAAAGAATTTAAAAGGAGTCCACACCTATAATTGCAGCTAATTCAGCCTTAGTTTTTTCCTCCACATCAGATCTTTTTGGGTGGCTTAAATGAATTGTATTGGATACGTACAAAATTAACAAGTGAAAAGTTTAAAAAATAAAATCAAAATCTTATTCTTTTAAACCACTATTATACCTGGCATTCTAACAAATAAGTGATCACCTTTGGGAGCAGCTCTTGATTTTTGTTTCTAAGGAGCGAGATTGTGGAATTTTCCTCACACAGCACAAATAAGACACGGAAGACTCTGCTCTGTTAATCACTAATAGCTTTTCACCTTCTCCTGCTGTCCTGCAGGACATTTATTTTCATTCTTTGTGCATGACAGATTATCAATAAATAAGATAATGAGGCCATAACGAGTTTAGGAGATCCACAAAGGAAAGGAACCTGCATTAAAAGCTATTTTGGATTCTTCTTTTAGTCAAACTAGAACAGTATACACCTTGTTAAAGGCTGTGATGAGTTCTTGCTTTTCTCCGTTCTTCTAAACATCTTAGTGCTTTGCAAAAGTATTCATACCGTTTCAGCCTATCCACATTTTTTCAAGTTAAAGGTACAAATTTGGAAATAGTTTTTGAGGGATTCTCTGTTATAGACGAACACATTGATGCATAATGGTGACGAACTTTATAAATTATGCATATATACTGTTTCTCCAATAGGGTCACAGGGAGCTGGTGCCTGTCTCCAGCAATCTTTGAGCAAAAGATGGGGTTTACAGTACCTCAGATTGTTGGAGAAAGCAAGAGTACCTGGGGAGAACCTGTGCATTCATGTTTTTTTTTTTGTTGTGACATTAAAGGTGTACAGAGTTAAAGAAGATATAAAAAACAGGCTATTATGATGGAAAACTCACAATAAAAGTATGTTGCAGTTTTTGGTTTTAGCACGAGAACATTTGAAAAAGCTTAAATACTTTTGAAAAGCAATGCTCTGGAAAATAAAGCTGCACTGATATTTTAGTCACATAAATATTTCAATATTGATATATTCCCACCATTTGTTAAGCTAGATTTTACCTTTGATGTTGTAGTTAGAGGGGTTTGGGAGTTTTGCATTCTTGACTATTGCTGTGGTTGTGTTTTGAAGTGGAAAAGGGTCCATTTGCTGTGAGTTTCCGTCTGGAACGGTTAGATCTCTCCCATTGGTCAAAACCTTTCTGCGGAGGCTCAGGCTAGGCAGGATGACATGGCCTTCATTTTGTTTCCCAGGATTTACAGAAGGAAGGCTTTTTCTTTTTGGGTTCTCTGTTCTTCCTCTAGATGACCCAAATCGGTTTTGTTGAGGGGAAGAGGACCCAGGTATCCCAATGATCTGAGACGGGTGCCCTCTGATCGCATTTAATGATGGAGAGACACTGCAAGGAGACACAAGGAGCTGGCAGCCTTTTCCACTCATGGCTGAGGTCAATTCAGCACAGCGGCTATGATCATGAAGAGACTTATTCCAGCAGCCGGGTTTTCTATGTAAAATGAGTGTCCAAAGATCATGCCTAGAGATAAATAAAATAAATTACGTATACCATATACTGCAACAAAAAACTCAAGACAGGATGGATAAATCAAAGTCAACATAAGTTGTGTAAAATATCCACATTCCCAATTACAAACACAATAAAACTATCTAAAGTGAACAATCTACACAATTTAACACACTACAGGAAAAAAAATGTAACAACAGACAACCACAAATTTAACAAAGTTTTTAAAAATGGTTTAATTACTTAAGATAAATATGTTCAGTAGTAAGACTATAGGCAATAACAGACATTATAGACTCCATAGACTTTGATTTCTTCTTCTTTGGGATGTTTTTCTCTCATTTTGGAATTTGTCCTTCTTGGCTCATCTTATTTATTTCATTCCTTAGTTTCAAGGCTCCTTGTGTTTTCGTTCTGTATTGTAATTTCAGTCCTCCAAAAAATATTTTTGAAATCTTGACAGGATTTAATTTAGATGCTCGACCAAACACTTCATATTCTCAAAAAACCAAATAAAAAAACAAATGTTTTATTGTGACTTGAAAAAAGGACATCTTTGTCTTCAACACATAAATATACCATCCTATTATTTGAAGTAATGTAAAGGTGGGGAAATAATGGAAATACTTTACCTTTAGTCTTAAATAGTCAAACTATGTCACTTAAGATTATAATGGTTTCCCTTAAAAATAGAGTTTTATAAAGACTTCCTGCAGTGTTCCACCTCACTGAACACCTGTAGAATCAGATTTTTATCAGAGTGACCAATCCAATAACCCAACAGCATCCTAATCGTGTTGACCAACATGATCATGACCATACTATTATGATGATGGTTCTTCCAGACAAAATCAAAAAGGATTCAGAGTCCAGAAACATCTTAACTATAAAAAATAATGTGAAAACTAAAGTGTTTTTAAATAGTTTAAATCATGTCTGTAGAATCAAACTTTGACCGTCTATGAAAGGCGAACCATGGCAGATTATTCTGATCAAATGATGAGTTCAGCAATCTCTATTTGGGGCCAATTTTATAAACACACAATTTTTGAACTATTATTGATTAATCTAAAAAGATTTAAGAAACACTTAGGCATACATTCAAATGTCAAAGCGCTCCCTAAGTTAGTAAAGGAGAAGCTTAATGCTTTGAAACTGTGATTAAGCATATCTAAATTTCACATAAAGATTAAATTAAGAGAAAAATCCTTATGCTAGTATCATTTTATGCTGATGAAATTCAGCTGTACTTCCTCTTGAAAGACTTTTTGAATTTCTTGAGAGGCTAAAATTAACTACAGGCTGGATAAAGATAAAGCCCCTTCAGTTTTAATCCTAGAAACCTGAGAAACTATACCTGTTGTTAAAAAACTTTAAATGTCTATAAACAACTGTTGAACCCTATTTCATATAATATTAGTCTTTGTGAAGTGGTTTCATTCTAAGAAGGTGAAAAATTAACCGGAAAATACTATAAATTCTGTTATTTTATCTTTTCAAGATCATAAAGCTATTTCTAAACATAAAAAATATCTTATCATATTTAAACAAATTTAGAAAAATTGACGCTCTGAACAATAGGATAATATTCACAGAAATATTTTGTGAAAAAAGTGACTTGGGTTATAAGGTAGACCAACACATAGCTACATAGGCATAATCTCACCATTTTTGTAAAATAGTTTCCCGAATGTTTTAAATAAAGGATGGATTTGAAATATAACGCGGTGTTATTGTGACGCACTAACTCACCATTTGTGCGTTGATGTCCAAAACTGGCGCGTCAGGATGAACGGCTGCCTCAATTCTGCGGGATATTTCCTTCATTAGAACTTTAGTTTTGTTGTTTGATAACTTAGTGAGAATAAAGTTGAGTCTGTCAGAAATTCCCCCGCATTTTTTTTTCTCCTGCGAGCTCCTTCCCCTGCTTCCAGGAACTTCTTTCTTTTCTTACACTTTTGCCCTTGTATGCGCACGACGTCATTTCAAGTGCACCTTAAGAGTAAATCATTAAGTTTTGTTTTTTTTTTCTTCCTTTTTTTTGCTATTGGTTTAGCGTGTGTTGACATGTTTGTGTGGCAGAGATCCACATCCATTATGATTTATTTTTATCATAAACTTTATGTATAAAACATTTATTTTTTAAGTCACCTGAAAGAACATTTCAGGTAAAATGGCTGCATGAATATAAAAAGCCCTTAGCAAAAAGTGGTGTACTTAGGGTAAATTCTATAAAGAATACTTAAGTATAAATTTAGAAAGTATACCGAACAATGTACTTTTAGTGTACTTGAAGTATTACTAAAGTAATGCTTCTTTAAACTAAATTGGGACATTTTTAAGTTTACTAAATTACACTTAAAGTATACTTTAGTAAACAATAAAGTAAACAATAGTATAGTCAAGTACACTTGTATATGAAATATAGTTTAGAATAAGTAAACTCTACGTGCACTGCCTGATTTTAAGTATGAAATTAGTGCACTTTTAGTATACTTGAATAAACTACTTTTTGCTAATGCTGAACAGGGATTGATGTTCTGTTAGAACCAGGATCTGATATCAAAGCAATCATTATTTGCCTATGTTTTAGTTTGAGTTCAGAGAATTTAAATTAATTTGAAAAAAAAGCACAAAACTATTAGGCTTGTTAATTACACATTAACTCTCTTCTAAGGTTACGGTGTAACTATTATCTTTGATTTTAGTTAAATAGAATAAAAAAAACATAAAGCTTTTTACATAATAGGGATAAGATACACCCTTTTTGGTAATGAGGCTGGATGAGGTCTAAAAGATTTGCTTAAAACTACAATTTTTTTAATGCCTTTATGAATTATGGCTCCTTTTGACATTGTCCCAGCATGTCTTCTGTTGCTCCCACTAGTTTCCCTATTTAACTGACTTCATCTTCCCATCAACTCTCACCAGCTTTCTTCTCTCTGTTAAATGTCATCACCCCAGCATGCAGCTACCACCACGCTTCACCGCATGGATTGTCTTTTTAGTATGATACAGTAAGTGGGGTTAATTTTTTTCACCACAGAGCATTATGCATGTCAGCCTAAAAGTTCAATTTAGGATTCCAACTGACTGCTGATGCTTTTCTTACATGTAGGCTTTGATGAAAATAGTTGAATCCTTTTTGTAAATTAAAATGAAGAGTTTACATACCAGCGTGGTAGACTTTTGTGCACATCATTATTTCAATGAATAGCTGGAGAGAAATATGGTTTATACTGAAGGCAAATTAAAAGCCCCAACCCTGGTATGAATCATATAAGAAACACCAAAATGTTGATGGTGTTTAGCAAAGAGGAAGGGGCTGAAATTCCTCTGTGCACATTGGAGGGACTAATCAGTGGTATAAAGAAACCTTTTTTTCAGTTATCCATCCACAGTCAGTGTTGTATAGTGTAAGACAGTTTTAAAATTAGAATAAATAACTTTTATTAAATCATTTCTGTGTCACAAGTCCCACTTATTCCTGATTACTGGCTGACCTTTGCAATCAAGAAGTGGGTTAAATAGAACCTTCCGGACGTCATAGTGGTGAAAAAGATATAAATAGATTAAATCAGCAAGTAAATCAGTTTTCTGAAAATAAGGAAAATGCAATCTAGATTTAGTCATTGTCAGTACAGCAGATATGCCACATTATAACCATGAAATGAACACCTTCTTTAATTACCTTTCAGATTACGATGAGCTGATTGGATTTTCATGTAACACTTGACATTTTCCTCCACTATGTTGCTATCAAATCATATAATTTTCTTCTGATAAATTTGTCTCCTTTTTATGAGTTAGCTCTCATCTTTCTCACTCTCCTCTGCTTTCTTAAACACTGCACATGGCCCATTGTTAGTATCCTTTCAGCTCGTCGGTGAAGTGTTTGTCTGTGGCTTGTGTTTGAGAACGGCATGGAAACCAGCATGTTTACAGATGGAGGGAAGGTATTGAAGAAAAGAATCTGGTTCACACACTGTAATAATGATGAACCTCAGGTTTGTCAGACAATAGAAATGCACACAAAGAAAGGTTCCAGGCACCGCAGAGGTTTATTGAATATAATGATGTGCTGCAGAGTAGATGATGTACAGTCTCCTAATTTGAAATGCCTCAGTGCATAAAGAATTCATAAAACAAAGAACTTATTTTCTAAGGATATATACCTATTTGCTAATTCCTTGTATATACTATAAACTTCTATAAACTATGAAGCTAAAGCTCCGTAACTGTAATTGTAATTTAATTGTTAATGAACGATGAGTTTACGCCAAAGGGAACTGTGGTTATCTATCTCTTTAATCAATCTATTTTATTTTTAGATTAATATTTTCATTCATCATAACATCATTTTATTCTGTTTGTAAACTGACATATATGTAGAAAAATACCTGCTCCATGCATCTTTTCCTTTATAATTGTACTAGTTTAGGTAGAAATTAAACCATCAGCTGATACTAGCTTTTAAGTTCTATTGAAAAAGATATGGGCAAATTATGATACTGCCACCACCATGGAGTTTAGTGTTAGTTTTCCAACATACTGTTTTGCATGTGATTAAACTATTACTGAGGGCCCTACTTTTATGTTTGCTCCTCCGTTTGTGGGTACGATTTTTGTTCATTTCATACAACTTCCCAATTATGCATAACATTATTTTAGTCTATTGCAAAGAAAAAATCCCCAAAATTAAAATTAAATATCATCATGTAAAAAATATCAAATGACTGACCTTTTTTTTTATATCTAGGTTTTTATATATATATATATATATATATATATATATATATATATATATATATATATATATATATCTTTCAATGCAGTTCCCAGTTCTTCCAGCAGGGGCTACTATTAGCAAACTAATGGGTTTGTTGGCAGCACTGTAGTCATTTCTTTTAACAAATTGGCACCACGTATTTGTTGATACAGTGAAGGAATAATAAGAAAAGACATGATCTACAGGTCAAAGAACAAAGCCTGTGAAGATGATAGATATAAAACTGCTACTGAGGCCTTATGTTATCAGAAAAATATTTTTCTTGTTGAAGGATCTTTCCATCAGGCATTCATTTGTTGCCTTTTTTATTTATTTATTTTTTTCCTTTTCTCAACATGAGTCAGAGTCTAACAGGATTACAAAGTGTCTGAGCTGGAGAGAGAACAACAATAGTTTCTGCACTGAGTCAGAAGGGTGGTCAGGGTGGTCAACATGTTAATCAGAGTTACAAAATCGCAACACTTAGGTTTAAAAGTGAAGAATTTGAAAAATATGGAAAAGGTAAAAGCAACAGGATCAAGCTTGAATAGAAAAAAGGAACTGATAAAGGACAAGACAAGATTTAAGCGGGGACCATTAGTGAATAGCTCCATTTGTAGCAGAATTAATGCTGTAATAGACTCTCTCCCACTTACAGAATCCATTTTCTCCCTCTTGATGACAGCACCCAGCACTCCTGGAAGTACCAAAGTACTCATTCTGGTGTCAGGAAGAGAAATCGTAGGTGATTTCTCTTTAAGTTATATTACAATGGTCTCTTAAGTTAATGCACACCGCCATGGACCTGTGATTAATTAATCTACTTTTGATTTGCTAATGACGGTTCAAGTTAAACACAAGGTTAGTGAAGGCTGAGTCAATCCTTTTAACAGTAGAAGCACAGAGTACACTGGCGAGTGTTGGAGATATCAATTTATTGGTATCATCCCTCATCATAATGGCTGCTATTAGCCTGCAGCACCTCTTATACTTACTCTCAGGATATTAATATGCGCATAGGGTGTTAGATTATATATATAGCAATGTATTAAATGTCTCTTCCAAACAGTGCAATCAATCATCTTGTTTTGACTTTGTGGTTTAAAACCTAGGTTTTGTGAGATACCAGACTAGAAAAGCTATAAAATGTCCTTTTTTTTTTTTACAATCACTGCAGTTTGTGTGAGAGGGAATGGAAAAGAGATGAGTTTTTCAATTTCTTTTTACAACCAAACTCTGAAAAACATCTATATTCATTTACATTTTTTACATTGGCGTCTCCACCAGCTTCCCAAGGAAAAGCGGTGAATATATCCAATTAGGAAAAAATCTCCAGCACAGTTTAATTTGATGGATAGCATATGAAAATTACCTTTAATTTTTATTTCCTGCCACAGATATTTCTTTTGCTTCAGGTCTGGACTTTTTAATTCTCTCTTTCTAAATCAATCAATCTGAACTATACCAAAGTAGCGCTAAATGTTGATCTTCATTGTCCTGCTTAAATTTGAAACTCAAGCCCAGACTTAAGTCTTTTAAAGCTAATAACAGGTTCTCTATGAGAACGTTGTGTTTAAAGCTTCAGTCTTTTGTAACTGACCAGCTTCTCATTCTCTACTGAAAGGCGTTTTCATACCAGGATACTCAGACATTGCAGTATCCTGGTGCAGTCTTCAGGTTTTCTTGCAATCTGAATGCTGTTGGTTTAAGTCCAGCTTCCTTTAGTCACATGTCAATGTTTCCCTGAGTGGGCCTAACTCTTGCCTTATGCTGCCTAACTGATCTTCTTATCAGAGTTGGAATGTCTGTGACTGTGTAAGTATGACTGGGGGATTCTGACTCCAGTGTAAATAAATTTTTGGGGTTAGAAATTACAAGAAAAGCATTTAATACATTCATTGAATGCACACATTTTTAACTAATTGCTTCCAGTTGTTTCAGTGTCCCTTTTATGAGCTTATGGCAAACTGCAGACAGGAATTCTTCAGGCTTTCTTTAACTGTTGTTTACTTCCTAACACTGCTCCATAAAGGCTGGGATTCTGGAGAGCATGAGTAATACATAGCTATGCTGACAACATATATGAGTTGAGGATGTTTTGTGTAGTTCACAGGATTCTGAGATGCATCTTAGTGACCTGTT